ATTAGATGTACGTACATACATACACGCATACATGACCTCCCATGATTTTCGCCCTGGTGATGACTAAAGATGATATATCATTTGTTCAGGTGGCCAATATTTTTTTACCAAGATATTCATAGTTTTGTATTGTGTTCTTGATTCTATTAGATGTCAGCTCTTGATCCGAACTATGAGTATGTGTTCTTGCACGGTTTTGCGAGCAGCAATCAAACGTACAAGGGGACATATCTGCGAGACAAGTACAAAGAGGTGTACAACATCGACATGCATGTACCAGATCTAAATTGCGGTCCCGACTTCAGCACACTGACATTCACCGGTGCCATCAAGACACTGCACGAGTTAGATGAGACAGTCATAAAAGAAAAAGGCTCTAATTTCAAGTGGCGTATATTTGGATCTTCGTTGGGTATGTGTGCATGGATATTTTTTCTTTCTGTTATCGTTTCAATCGGTGAATAATGGTTTTTGTGTTCGTTATTCAATTTATTAAGGTGGGTACTTAGTTGTACATCAGTTTCGTTGGCAATTGTTTACATCGTAGAAGGCTTTAGTGCTCCACATCGTGCAGGGGATTTAAACCCTAAAAAGATAATATCAGAATACAACTAAAACAATTCGTCGACTGGCTGTATCCTAAAACGTTTACAGGTGGGTACCTCGCCGCGCGCTTCGCAGAGCTATACCCAGATCGTGTGGACAGGTGTCTACTGATATGCCCCGCATTTGACATGGGGTCGTGGATGCCTGGGATTTTGCCTGAAAAGGAAGAGAGTTTAAAGAAATGGGAAGCTAAAAGTTCTCAACCTTTCCCGAAATTCGGTACTGACAAGGTCACCGAAGTGCCCTGGAATTTCATTGTTGATTCTAGAACCCATCCGGCGTTCCCTAAGGTATACCAGTTTGTGGTCAAATGCAACATTGTCAATACCCGCGCGTGCCCCCTTCACTTGTGTAGATACCATCTATTGAGTGAAATGTGCCATTGTACGCGTTCTTTATCGGGTTTGTTGATCATCCTTTTGCAAAGTGACATCGATTTCTCAGTGGGAATCATAGACTCGGCGTCTCATGCGTGAGTAAGCTGTCGTTTACCCGTTAGTGAGCATGAATGACAATCTGTGACCTCCAATGTATATGTCTGCCCGTATGATAAGCACCTGTACAACAAAGATGGCTGTCGCTTAGATTCAAGGTGTATGTATCCTTGTCAGCATATAAACACTCAGTGTACTAAGAAATAGCCACATGCACCACAGAGTACAAATGCGTTGTAAAATATAGAACCCGCTACGAGATGTACTATAATCTCTTGTGAGACACTCGCCCGGCACACCAGTGTTTAGCATTGTGTGTTATCAGTCCGATGCCGCTGATTGTGTGTACTTGAACTGCAGTGCGATCGAGTTTGTGTTTGGTTCTTTACACCATATTCCCAAAATATACACCCGTTCGAATAGTTGCTATCTCATCTCACTTTCGTTATATTCTAGTGGTCACAAAAGACGGTGATCATCCATGGCCTTGAAGATGTGGTTGTACCCATCACAATATCGCAAAAGGTGGCAAACAAGGCTGTCAACACGAAGGACATGTACGTACAGCTGATCGAGGTGCATGATAGTCACGCCATGTGTAAGCCGGAGACACTCTTGGCGATACAGTCATTAGCAGCGGAGCTGTTCGAATTGAAGGAGAACAGAATATGATCCGAAATAAATTGGAAGCGATGCAAGGCCCGAGAATAAAAATATTCGAGATCACGGTCCATGCCACGTTCACGATATACATCATATCTTATTCATGTGGGGAATCAACCATCGTACTGTTAACATTCTGTTGAATACAAGGGAATCTGATGCATGCCAATTTTATTCGAAGATATTAAGACACCCATCGGACAATACATGTTACTCGATGACTGGCTCGCCATCAGTTTGAGAGACATAGATACTGGTCACGTACTATACGGCCCGCACAAGCTGAACAACTTACTCTAACAGACACCAAAGTGAGAGGCGAGAATTGATTGTTCAACCAAAACCCACCCTCCTTGGTCTGCAGGTCTGATATGTTTGGGTCTGACGCAGTTGTATCCCATTACATGCATGCTATAATTTTGAATTCCATTACATACATGCTATTATTTTGAATTCCATTACATACATGCTATTATTTTGAATTCCATTACATACAAGCTATTATTGTGAATCCCAATCCCACGCGGATCGTTGTCAGATCCAGTCTATCGCTGCTTCGATGTTTTGGGTACAGATCCGGTTGACCCGATGATCCGTACCGTCTCGCATTCGTTTCTATGTTAGATTTCAGGTTAGTCGAGACCGCGACAATTGTCAAACTCAACTTGATAAGATGCACATACGATAATACACATCTTGAGTGCCCCAGCCTTATTGATTCTCACGGACCATCTGATGGCGTCACCTACAGACAATGACTACTTGTTCGTATCTCAACGACATGAGACAGCACAGAATAGTATAGTATGCAACAACCAATGCACAGCCCGTGGTCCGCGATTCGTGCACCTCCAAACTCGCAACACTTCGCAGTATCAGACTCTCGCAATACATCAGCGAGCCTTCGCGCTAAAGCCCGGGAGAGTTTCTTGTACGCCAACCACCCTCGGCTAATGTGTATCCCAAATCGCTTACTCAATAGATCTTCGCGTTACAGCAACAATCTCCACAATAGGTATAGATAAAAGTGGTCTGAGACGCTCCCTCATCCGGTACCTTAGATTATATGTAATATTAGAGATAACCCAATCTGGACTCATTAGCTTTATATCGCCCCATTCGGCTACTCTACGTATATATCAGCCAGGCCCAAGTCATTCGCGCGACAAGGGGCAGTCTACAAGCGACGTATTGGATCGCAATCATCCAACAACGCCATACATTGACAGCTCGAGTGGCGACAATATAATGAGAAGTTTCATCCAGCAAGAGATAGGCCGGTACCGCGCGTTAATTCCGGTGCCCTTTTTTTTTGCCGACGGTTATACGCATTCCTACAATTTGCTGAACAGGTGGATGGGCTTTAGCCTCAATACTGACCTCATGCTGCACATACCATCGATCCCCACCCTACCATTCATTTCTCAACTGGGACACCTTACTTAAAGCACGTCAGGTGGGATACATGCAATTCACCTACGTAGCTGGGAACCAAACCCTGAACATCTTGCACTGTAGCTCTCTTCACTCATACTGTACCCCTCCACTGCTGCACTTAACTGAGACTCCTGGCACTCGTCGCTTCAACTACTGCTACACGGCAGCTATCACACTGCACAACTATCAGACTCCCACTACTTTTCCGTCGCGTGACTTACAGCAGATTCGGCAACTGCAACGTCTTTAACAGAGTGCGTACCCTGGCTTCCAGAGCTTCTACTTTTTTAATAGCAAGCGCATGGTCCTGCGACAACTCGGTTGGGACATACAGCGTCACCCCAACCTCTGCATAGATGGTGTTCAGTTCGCCCATAAGCCGGTCGTCCATCGCCGCCAGGGCCTTCATTCCGTGGGGGGTTGATTTCTTGCACGCAAGCAATGATCTGAAGTGGAGGAAGGGATTGTAATCAATTCAAGTGTACATAGACAGAAGAAGAACAGTGGTTATCGAAACCTAATCGAATGGGATAGGGTGAGTATGGAACCCCAGGAAATGACCAGTTCATCACCAAAGCTCTGTGAGTTGAAGTTGGACTAAGCGATCCTTGTACATCGGATATAGGGATCGGTGCGCCAGACGATAATAACAACAGGGGAATATTGTATAGCACAACTGAAACAACAGGGTTTATCTCATCAGGTTCTTCGATCACACACCCAGTCAATCCCTGCAGACGGCCGAGCCGTTCTGAAATAGGCACGCACTCATAAAACCCGTCATCGAAATACTTCTGCAAGCTGTCTTCATCATTGCGGCCGACGAACACCCCTTCTTGCATTCCTCCCTGTTATATTGAAACCGAACCGAGAGACTGTTGAGCAAAACTTCAGGATCCGATAGATAGTGGATACTAATGCACAGTTTATAACCATTTAAACAAACAAATTTGATGGCGATTAACTGAGTCTTATTCAGGTGGGTTAGTGAGCAATAAATAGTGTGGAGAAAAACAAACCTACAAGGAGGAACAAAAGACTTATATATGGAACATTCCAATATTACGACAAAAATGAGAGCGCAAATTTGTAATCAAAACAAAGACATGGGTATGTACAGCGTAAACAACAAGCGTTGGCTTGCAAATAATCGTGATGACCAGGATTTTATCCCAAAAAACAACATAAACATAAGTATATACTGTTAATACAAACAGATATATATATATATATATACATATAGATTTATATACATACATACATACATATATATATATATATATATATATAT